ACGATCACACTACAATGCACACACGGGTTATGAGTCACACGTGTCTTTTCACTTTGAGTTGAGTCAACCTCGAGTCAGTCAATCACAGCGAGTCAAGTTTATACCTTGAGTCGTGTCAAGTCGATGAGTCAAGCAACATTAAGCCTTAGGTCAACCCTAAGATAATTAAAGAAATTGGCAAAGTTCTATAGTAAAAAATAAATACAGGTGCAGCAGAATAGGGAAGACCCTACTCCAATTCTTGGCGCCAGAGATATCTCAGCAACGACAAAGCTCGAAGCCTCCCAGAAAGGTGATTTCGACCTCATGCAGCAATTTCGGTTCCTTGGTACGCCAGTTAGCCCCTATAAGCAATTTGACATGATTAGTAGTCGGCTCGATTACAATCGTAGTAAGTGATTGACCTGAAAAAAAATCGTCTCACTTACCTTAAGCGCCTAAAACACTAGCTCATTACAATCGGTTCAAAAGCAAGCACTTAAACGACAATATTTCCAAATATGGATTGTCGCGCATTCTTATTAAACGACAAAGTTTTCCAAAAATTGGATTTTCATCCCCAACTGACAATATTTCCAAAAATGGATTGTCGTGCATCTTCTTCAACGACAATTTTTCCAAGTTCGGATTGTCATCGCTGGCAAGTTTTCCGAAATTGGATTGTCATACACCCAGTTCCCTATGGCAAAATTTCCCAAAGGATTGTCGTAGGTCTCTACTCATCATAAATTTCGGCAAAAGTTCCTCAACGTGGATTGTCATTCATTTCAGCAAGTGGCAAATTTTCCCGAAGTGGATTGTCGGTCGACTCTTTCTTGCAAATGTTCCAAGACGCGGATTGTCAATTGTGGCAATATTTTCCTAAAAGGATTGTCGCATAGCGTTGGCAAATTTCCAAGGTGGATTGCTTTCAAGAGTTATATTCCAAGATGTGGATTGTCGATCGTAGCAAAGTTCTTATGAAAGATTGTTACAAAGCATTGGCAACTTTTTCCAAAAATTGGATTTTGGCAAATTTTCTGAGATATGGATTGTCGCTTCATCGTGGCAACATTTCCAAGGATGGATTGTTACGAAGCATTGACAACTTTCCCTAAATCAGATTATCATACATCATACAGGAGTTGTGTTGGCAACTATTCCCAAAGAAAAGAGGATTGTCATCACAGCAACAACACCGACATACTGGTTCACAAGCAGCAAGATGGCATTCCATAGATTGTGGAAAGTTGTCAAAAAGCAACTGAGGATTGTTTCAAGAGAAGCAATCTTCGATAGTATTCCCTTGGACGTGGAATGTTATCAATGCGAATGAGGATTGTTTCGAGAGAAATAATCTTCGATAGTATTCCCTTGGATGTGGAATATTATCATAGCGGAGGAAGGTTGTTTCAGGCAAAGCATTCGTCTATATTGGAAGCAATTACGGGCGTAGCGGTTTTCGAGCGGGATGGCATTCTCTAGCTTGTAGAAGGTCATCAAAACAACAGTAAAGCGGCAGCAAATCAGTTACTTTCAGAGACGTGTGCTCGACGGTGCAATATACGCGTTTCTTAACTCTTTTATCTGTTTAACTAACGCTAGTTTGCAGGTATTGGCGTTGCAAGAGTGATTTAGGATCGCAGAACGTTTTGAATCATTCTCCGTCACTATCGATACTTTGACTTTTGATTTCGAAACTTGCATTTCTCCAAACTCAGTCAAAGTGGGGGCTTCTGTAGACACTCATTTGTGTCTCCCCAAAACCAAACCCAGTGATGAGTACCTTTCACGTCAAATCATAATCAAATGAAACGAAAGTGTGGAAAGGTCTAGTGGTGCGGAAAGTTTTAGTTTCTTTTCTCTTCTCTCTGTATTTAAAACTTTATTTTTAAGAAAATAGCCAATCCAGTTTGGTTGGACCATGATATGGGTCCAAAGTAGTGTAGTTGAATGGGGCTTGCAAAGACCTTTCCAATGATATATTATAAGCCCAATTCCGATGAATATTGAGGAAGTTATGGCCAATTTACCAAACTGGGCCCGGTTTGAGCCTTATGTGCGGCCCAATGATCTAGGGGAGGGCCTAATATGATTTATCATTCCTAATGCAATTAGGAATGGTTTTAGTCTTCTAGAATCTTCTAGAAGGTTCTTTTCATTCCTAATTCAATTAGCATTAATAAGTTGACTTTGTTGACTTTTCAGAGTTTTAATCAAAATCAAATAGCATTTTCGAAGAAATTATATTATTTTATCCTCCAGTACGGGAAATTTATCAGATTTTCGAAAACGCGTTGAAATCCAGTTTGGCGTCCAATCCCAGGCCTTGGCGCCTGGCGCTAGCCGTTGGTGCCTGGCGCCAGCTAGCCAGGGTTGGCGCCAACCTTGTTTCCTGAGCGTCAGACTCTGTTTTGTTAAATTATCTTTTTTAGCTGATTTTCTCTATAAATATCGTATTAAAACCTCCGTTTTCAAAGGGGGATTGACCAATTCATCATCTACATTCACCTACAACCAATTCTCATCATTCACGAGTTCTCATCTACAATTAGTTTTAATTAGCGTTCTCTTAATCATTCAATTATTTCTTCTTACTTTGCTTTTCATAAAAAATCCGCATTCACAAGATCTAGAAACACCTAGCCATATTCGAAGTTGCCTTCGCCCTAGACGTGAAAGGTTTAATTTCTGAGGGTTTGGTCCCAAATCTCTCTTCCAATTATTTAATTTGATTGTTTTGATTATTATTTTCCTTGAAGTTACTAACGTGTGCATTTTGTTATTAGAAAGAGGTACGAGGAATCAAAGTAAGTACTTTAATTGATTTTAATTGATATTATGATGTAGAATTCATGTTTATATTGTTATTATGATATTTCTAGTATCATGTTTAGGGAAAAGAATATAATATCAAATATATTAAATATGATTGTTACGATGCTTCCTATGTTCTTCCTAATATTTATGATTGTTAGTATCATGTTAGGGTTAAAGATTTGATCTTGATTGCTTAGTGACATGCTAGGGTTTGTTATTAATCTTGTTAGTGTCATGCCTAGGATCTTGCTATTATTATGCTTTAATATTAACATGAATATGATTATGATTATAATTGTTATGATTTATGATGATGATTATTATTATTTTGATAATGATTATTATTATTTTGATGATGATCGTTATTTTGATGATGATTATTTTATTTATGATGATTATGATTATTATTATTATGATATGATTATTAATTATTATTCATGATATTGATTATTTATTGTGTTGCTTGATTATTTATATTTATTGCTTGATCACGCCTTTTATGCATGCTTAAAGGGAATTTGGTACTTGTAATCACAATTAATAAGATAATTAATAATCTTGTTTAGGGTTAATGTGATTATAATTCAAGTGATCGCCAATAATAGATTTATTTGTGCATTATATTCAACCAACATAGATAAACAGGTTGAGGGTTAATCCTATTGATTGTATGTTAATTAAAAAGCGCACATGAATACGATCAGAATAAAGTAGAGGCCTATTATTAGGGCAGGTTCAATCTCTTTTAGGTTGGATTTGTACCTTCATCCCCGAACCCTTATTTGGTTCATGACCTTATGGCGTTGACGATCTTTTGGATCGTTAAGGGGTGTAACCTTCATCCTATGAACGGTTTACAAGTTCCTTAAAAACTTGTTGGCGACTCTTTTGCTCTATCTTCTTTCCCTTTGGACGCCACCGTACTTAAGTGTATGATCACAGTGGGGTTCAAGCTAGTGGGATTAAGGCTTGAAAATATTCCCTACACTCACCTATTTGGGAGACGCCATATTGAGTTCAACTCAAGTGTATAGTCCCAACTCCTTAAGTTGGTATTTATAGGCAAAGGCTCCAAAAAACTTAAATCATCTTTCCATGTGGGAGAAACGATAGAGTGAGAAAAGTAAGCTATTTATTTAATTCCAAACTAAATTAAATTAGCTAGACAAATAATCAAACAACACTTGGCACACACACGGGAGTGGTTAGGTGAGGACCACAAGGTAGATCACATGGTCTCATTGATCCCCAAGCAAAAGCTCTCCCCTCTAAGCATACGCCATGTGGCAAACCTTTGCCTTGGCAACAAGGGTGCCATGTGGGCATCCCTTGAGCTCACGTTTGGGCCTGCTAATTGAGCTTTCCCGCACCAACAAGCCACGCTAACGCTAGCTGCTTGTTGCAGGGCGCAATTGCTGTGCCGCGAGCACCATGCTTGGTGCCAGCAATAGCAGCGGCTTGTTGTGCGTGCTACTACCTAGGCATGCTAGTTTGGGTTAGTTGATGCTAGCAGCACCTAGCGAGGCCCAGCGTGCTAGCTTGTGGCTAGACTTGCTATCTCTGCTAGCATGCAAGCTCGCCCAATAAGCCCCAGTCGACACCCGTATGGGGATGCTGGGCTTGCGGCCTTGCTAGCGGCTATGGCTAGCAGCCTTATATAGCTTAGCCCTAGCTTGACTAGGCCAATGTGAAGCTAGGGCTATATTTAGACTTGTTGTTTGGATGGTTTTTCGGTCTTGTCGATTCCTAAAATCATCTTGACTCACGACGCTTCGGTTTCGACGCTCTAAGCTCGGAATTCGTCGCCTTTGTTCGTAAAAACTCTATTCACTCTTCGTCATTTCGGTTCGGGTACTCGATTGGGCGTGACCCGAAGGGTTCAGTCAAGATTAAGTTTTATTATTAATTATGCATTAATATTACTGATTAGAAGCGGCCTCCAGCTAGGCATTTCGATCACTAACCCTCACTAAATAATTGACTTTCTAATAATTTCTAATAATTCTGAACCATCTATTGGAATAAGACACTTGTTCGAAGGACACCATTCCTTTCCACGTTTACCTAGCGCGACCATAATGCTAGTAATTTATTTATTTTAAAGTAGATACGGAGGATTTCCTTCTATCACAGCCTCACAGGAGGGAGTATAAGGAGTCAAACCCATATCATTTCTGGGGGAGATGAAGGGGTTAACGATCCCTCTACTTCTCAGTACTAACTCCTCACTCCTCATAGTGCTAGTAATTTTTTTTTTCCTTTTAAATTAAGATACGGGGGATTTTCTTCTATTACAGCCTCACAGGATGGAGAATAAGGAGGCGAACCCAAATCATACCTAAGAAGAGATAGAGGGGTTTATCATCCCCTACTAACTCCTCACTCCTCATAGTGCTAGTAATTTTTTTTCCTTTTAAATTAAGAAATGGGGAATTTTCTTCTATTACAGCCTCACAAGATGGAGAATAAGGAGTCGAACCAGATAATACCTAAGAAAGACAAAGGGGTTTACAATTCCCTTCCCTCTTCACTCCTCACTTCTCAAGTGCTAGTAATACAGAGCCACCAAATCCACCATTATATTTAACAAAAATAAATAAATAAATAAATAAAATTCCACCAGTATAAATCTCAGATGGACTTATTGAGCACAATCGCCATCACCAAACTCAGCTTGAGCCATCATCATCTCCACCTGCACTGCTGCACCCTGCCAAAATCGTCAGATCTTTTCTCTCCTCCATGATTAAGCTTAAAAGTTGCTAATCATTGAAAATCTATACTACAATAATTGGCCATGAGCCACCATCTTCACCGCCCCAAAGTCGTCGGATCAACCTCTTCTCCTCTTTCCTCTGTGATGAGAATTGGCAGACATTCTATGGTGAAGCAAACAGTTTTTACCCTTTCCCTTGTTTTAGTTCTTTACTTGTTCTTCAACACCTTCTTCCTCTCTCCTCTCAGCCCCCATTCGTCCGTTGATTCTGCCTCTTCTTCGTTCTCGCTTTTCAACAATAATGGTGATAATTCGGCGAAGAAGGTGAAGATTTACATGTATGATTTGCCTAGGAAGTTCACTTATGGTGTGATCGAAAGCTATGCGATGGCAAGAAGTGGGATCAAATCACCGGTGTCAGATGATTCGGAGCTTAAGTATCCTGGGAATCAACATTCCGCTGAGTGGTACTTGTTTTCTCAATTGGGTAAGGATGAGAAACACCGAGTTGACTCGGCTGTTTTGAGGGTTTTCGACCCCGAAGAGGCGGATTTGTTCTACGTTCCATTTTTCTCGTCCTTGAGTTTGGTGGCGAATCCAATTAGGGCTGCAAATGCGAATGCCGGTAACGGGGCTGTTTCTGGGGTTTATAGTGATGAGAAGATGCAAGAGGAATTGATTGATTGGTTGGAAGAGCAAGTGTATTGGAAGAGGAATAATGGGTGGGATCATGTATTTATATGCCAAGATCCTAATGCTTTGTATAAGGTTGTTGATAAGATTAAGAATGGTATTCTACTGGTTTCTGATTTTGGTAGGTTGAGGCCTGATCAGGCTTCCCTTGTGAAGGACATTATCTTGCCATATTCGCATCGGATTAATTCTTATAAGGGTGATATAGGTGTTGAAAATCGTAAATCATTGCTCTTCTTCATGGGTAATAGGTACAGGAAAGAGGTAATCATTCTGTCTGTTTTGCTTGTTTTGTTTCAGTTATATATATATATGCTTTGGTATGCTAGATAAAATGACCCAAGCAGCATTAAGTACTACGTATATTGTTTGTTGTTTTAGAACCCGGAATTTTACTTGTATTTGATCAGTGTTTGATTTGTACTCAAGTGATGCACCCCTGACTTATTGTTGGTTTAGTTATGGTTAATTTGTAACACAATCCCTTAGTCGGATTTATTTAACTGATGGCTTTGATTGGTCTGTGTTATTTAGTTAATCCGATTGATTAGCTTTGTAGATTTCGAATCTGTTTGATACACATATAACATACAAGTATACGCATACATATATAGAATTGGACTGTTTTGCCTCTCTTACATGTCAATATTTATTTTGAAATTGTGATGAATTTCACTTTCTGGTTAATTTCTGTCAGTAGGACATTTAATGAGTCATGTGTGGTAAGCTTGTTGAATTTTGATGCTTGTAGTTCTCTTACCAGAATATGGAAGGTGGATCGATTATTCTCACTGGATTTACTTAGTTGTTTTATAGTTTTTGCTTTATCTTTCCATCTTCAGGGTTAGGATGAAGTTAGCCTGCTACATCTTATATTAATTTACTTGGTAGGCCATAGTTGTAGCCTTGTAGGTGCTGGATCTGTTTTATAATAGTATCATTGCTGGACAATTGGACATTGTTCATTGTTATCCTTATTCCTTGGAGTCTAGAGGAATTACATGTCGGCATTTGATGCATCTCTTGGTGCATTTAGTGACAGAATCTTTGTGCCTGTCATTTTCTTTTCTTCACTATATTCTTGATTTGGTTTTGTAAGTCAAGCAGGGAACTTATTTGAAATTAAATTTGTGCAAAGGGTGTACTTAAAGAAAATTATACTTCGTATGTCTTCTTTTTCCCTGATAAACAGCTGATAAAATTATACTTTGTATAAATTCCTGACTACAATCAAGAGCCTAGAATCACTACCATGCCCATTTCCTGTCAAACAAACATCACTGTGAGGTGTGCTGTTGTTGAAGTAAGTGCGATGATGATTTAAGGTGAGTGAGTGAGTTTGACAAGAGACTACATGATGGAGTTTTAGCGCGACAAAGGGAGCCACACATCATACAAGCTATAAGCCAATGAATATATGATGTAATCATCGAAGAATGATAATCATTTTGTCCCCTTTCCTAAAGTTATGGGTTTCATTTATATTTGTATAGAACCCCAAACATGGTGCAAAAATATAGTTGTATTGTTTTAGTAGGGCTGTATCACAAAGGATTTCAATTGATTAAATAGTATTGTTTTTTATGTCAATGTGAATCAAACATTCCTACCCCAATACGCTCCGCATTGACTATTGCATCTTCAGATAAGAAATTACCAGGGAACAAGGGGAATATCTTCAATTCCAATGCAATAATACACGATAAAACTATCTTAAAAATCACCAAGATCTATGATATAGGGTTTTTAATCAAAGTCAACACCAAGTAAAGCTTGGATCAAAGTGTTACCACAAAGATTACAAAGAATCAATTACAAAGATAGCAAATAATCACCAAGATTAAGGACAAAGAATATCTAATTGATTTTAAATTAAGCAAAAGATCCTTCAAAACAACAAGTTTAAGCTTAGGGTATTACAAACATACCTAGAGTTTTAAAATTACAGCCTTAGGATTACAAGATGAATGGCCAAGATCAAACAACGAAAGTAGGAGGAAAAAAAGAATATTTGATCACATGGAACATTGGCCGCTCCTCGCTACTGTCCGGAAAGATCAAAACAAATGCCCGTAACTTATTCGTTACTTGCTCAAATTAGGTAGAAGACATGTCGTTGGAAAACTCTGTACTTTCATATCCAATTACAAATTTAGAATCACCTTAAAATTCTATGTTATGAAAATGATATGGCTGATTGAATTTTGAGTACTGGATTTTTAAGTACAAACCTTTCTTTTTCATCCTTGATTACATGCTTACATCTTCAACTATCAATTGTAAAATCAAGACACAAGGATAACTCTTATTCACCTGAGCCACATCATTAGATAGTGTATCTATTCAAATAGTCTATTGACACCATAAATGCCATTAAACTGCTCATATAGCCATACAATCCATAGCTTTCGATGATGCTCCCAAATCAAACCCTCTCTCTTGAAAATAAATACCAACTCAAAACAAACTTTCGGATAATGACTTCATATCTAAATGCTGTAATTCCTACTTGATTTCAAAATATCACTTGTTCCTAATCTTAGGAGTGCCCGCTCTTCTCAGTTCAAGAGGATCGTTCGTTCCAACGCACTATAGCAAAGCTCCATCGCCCTTGTTATGTGTCGGGTTTTGCTTCCTTTGTTCTTTATTTTTACTTGCTTTCAATTTTGGCCTTTCATTTGTAATTTAAGGGTTGTATTGTTAAGACTCTAGGTTTATTTGTAAAGCCTTTATATAGGGCTAAGCTTGCTTTTGGGAACAACTTTTGCCCTCTCCATTCGTAATCGTGGTGATTATTGCAAATCTATGTGATTTTTCCCCTATTATTTACTCTAATTTGTGTTAGACTTGGATTAAACCCTTATTGCATTAAACTTGGTGATTCATTCGATAAGATTCAGTCTTTGTGATTCGTTCTCTCTCAAATTGCATCTTAAACATTGATGCTTGGATTGGAAGTTGATTTTTCTTTGTTCACATCATCTTTACTCCAAAGTTACATGCTATTTAGAGATTGTGATTTCCCATGTTTCTTCCTAATAGTGGCTTTAAGCCTCTAATAGTCTACTTTAACTATTCTAATAGCCTACAACTATTATAAAATTTTAAAATAATTTGAATTCAAATTTGCATCGCGGCATGATCTGTGATCAATTTTATTACCTCTTTGAGACCCTATGTGACCAAATCCGTATTTTCAAACGACCCCTACAGATTTGCTACATTTCCAATAAAGACTTCACTTTATCTCATTCCATTTATCTCATATGAACATCTTCTATGCTATTAACTACATTAGTGATACTGTCTCAAGTTTCTGCCCTTTTTGAGCCATGTTTTGCTTAAAGTTGGCGTTAACAGGGATTAAGTGACAGAATTTTGGTTTTTCTCCGTAGGGCATGTCAAATGCTGCTTAGCCATAGACTTGGACGTAATATCGTTTGAAGCATAGTCATTTTTTATTGGTGGGGGGAGGGGTTAATTTTTGTTTTTTTTACTTTAACTTATTACTACCTTAGGCCCACAATTTTGTCACATTCGAATATTGTAATCTATTATCTTTAGAACAATATAAAGTAATTAAATCTTTTAATTTTTACGGGTTTTTCACCATATATTCTTAGGCTTTTTGTTTATTCACCATATACCCATGAACTTTTTAAATTTCATCATATACCCTCGAGTTTTCATACCCTTGATGACTAATTATTGTTAACTTTGTCAATCATTAGAGGTAATTATGACTCAAAACCACCCTAAATACATTCCTTTACCTCTGAAATCATTTACATTTCTTTTTCCCACCCCCAAAACCACCCCAAATTTCATTTTCTCATCCTCAAAATCGATGATACGGATATGATTATGGAGATTTGGAGTGTTTTCAGGGATTGGACAAATGAGAGGAGTGGTTTTGTTGGGGATAGAGGAAGAGATCTAAGGTGGTTTTGAATCATAATTAATCAAACCTCACTCATCCTTTTGTCATTAGGGGTATATGGTGAATTTTTATAACAACTCAGGGGTAAATGGTGAATTTAAAAATTTTCATGGGTATATGGTGAATAAACAAAAAAACTCGAGGGTCTATAGCGAAAAAACTGTAATTTTTATTATTTATGTGTAAGGGCTCTATGAGAAGTTTCGACTCTTGGTGAAGGGTTATGTTAGAATTAGGAACTAGAGGCGTATTATTTAATTATTTTTGATGCTACATTAGCTTACTTAACCATAAGGAGTGAGATTGATAACTAGTACTCCGTCTAAACTCAAACTCCATTCCTTTATTATTGCAATATCTAAGAGGTGTGTGGAGTTAAAGGAACCCACTTGATGAGGAGAGATAGAAAGAAATTGAAGAGGAGGGATCCATGTGCAAGGAAAGAGATAGTGAAAAATCATATACAAATACAGAAAATTTGCATAAAATATTATGATTCCATAAAAAATACAGTATTGCAATGGAATAAGGTATATGCAACATAGAGGTATGGCTTGAATTATTAAACTAACTTAAGGGGCACTATGGGTAGTCTAATATCATTAGGTTAGTAGTCTTAGTTTTAGCATTCCCTTATAGTTAAAGGGAAAATTCTACGGACCGCCATAAGACCAGTGTTGCTCTATGGTACCGAATGTTGTGTTTCTAAGAAGCAGCACATTAAAAAGATGGAGGTTACATAAATTCGCATGTGAAGGTGGATGTGTGGGAACACCCTAAGAGATAGAATCAGAAATGAGGTTATTCGCCTAGCAGGCATTACAGATAAATAAAGGGAAAATCGTTTGCCTTGGTTTGGGCATGTAAGACGAAGACATGAGGGTGCACTAGTTCGAAGGGTGGAAGAATGGGACCATGAAGGGGTTAAACAAGGGAGAGAGTGATCGAAAATGACTTGGTTGGAAAGAGTTAGGAAGGATATAAAGTATATGGATTTGCATGAGGATGAAGCTTTGGATCGTAAGGGATGGAGGAGAAAGATTTATGTCGATTACTATACACTGAATAATCAAATTTGGTTCATGTTAGCCGACGCCACTTATGGGATTAAGGCTTTGATTGATTGAGAGAGGGAGGGGAAAGGAGAAGGTAGACAGATTTTGGGAGCGAATCCTTCACTATTTGATGAATTGTGAGCTAAACACACTGTGGATCTTGATAGGCTAAACCAATCGATCGTGTAAACTGTTGTTCTGTCAATTAAAGCCTCAATCTTTCTTCTCTAATTAACTGTTCTATTTCATTTTTCTGTTTTTGGCTGTTCTTGGCTTGAATCTATTACAGTGAGGTAGAGAGAGATAATGAGGTTATGAAAAGGGTCCATATGATGGAAAGAGAGAATGATAGAAACCACAAATCAGATAATGTATGTTCCTTTAATTTAGGAACTGTTGTGGTATTGGCTTCCTATCGTCTGGTGACATGAATATCATGCATTAAGTCAACAATAAATAATTCCTTGTTATTAAATTATTTAACTATAAATGCATAGAATTTTCCTATGAAGCGATGAAAAAGGGTTGGAAGGAGAGTGTTGAGCTGAGTACATTCGATATCTGATCATTTTGATTGGGTTTTAGACACTCAGCAGGGCAGTGACCTGTTCTTTTAATGATGTATATATCTTTTAGCCCTTTCAGGAGTTGATGGATGATGATGTTTTATATTCTTTTAGTCTGTGTGATTCCATGTGTTTCATCTGATCTTGCTTTCAGGGTGGAAAGATTCGTGATGTGCTCTTTGAAATTCTTGAGAATGAAGACGACGTTGTTATAAAGCATGGTGCACAGTCTAGAGAGAGTCGACGTGCAGCTACACAAGGAATGCACACATCAAGGTTCTGCTTGCATCCTGCTGGCGATACTCCATCCGCTTGTCGTCTCTTTGATGCCATTGTAAGCCTGTGTATACCAGTTATAATCAGTGACCGTATTGAATTACCTTTTGAAGATGTCATAGACTACAAGAAAATCGCAATATTTGTGGATACCAACTCATCAATGAAGCATGGCTTTCTTGTTAAATTACTCCGGACTGTTACTGAACATAAAATTTTGGAATACCAGCAGGAGATGAAGAAGGTATTGATCCTTATTAATAATGTTCTCTATTTATTATACATGCCGTATTTGTATTTTAATAAGTAGGTATTACCTTTTGATTGACATATCAGAAGTTATGGATCTGCAATCTAAAAACCAAATTATCTTTGGTTAGTTTGAATAGTTATTAGAATTTATAATGCACTATTACACTGCTTTTGTTGCTCATAGACAATACTTTGGTCTATTTGTGTATCAAGTAAAGTAGTAAGCCGTAGCACATTAATACAAGTTTCTTTGGGTGTCATGATTTCTGTTTTGGGATTTTTTTTTTTTTTTTTTTTTTTTTTGTGGGGGGGGGGGGTGTGTGGGGGAATAAAATTCTCTTCTCAGCTCATTTTAGTTGACACTTTGGTTGATAAAACATCCGAATTTACTGTCTTAGAATTTACGTAATATGAATTTGGAAAATTTCTGAAGCACTTTTCTGAAGGTAGAGCTGGAATTCTGTATCTGAGATGTTAGTCATATATTAAAACGAGTCTTGCCAAAAGGCAATTGTGAATTTTGTTCTTCTTTAGTCTTGTTTTTGTAGTTTTCTAGAGATTTGGTGGCTTGAGCTTTTCTACTTCGTATTTTGGTAAATAAAGTTTGAATATCCATCAGATACATCATATATGGCAGTAACTCATATACTTCATTTTACCTAATGAAGTAAGGATTGGTGGGTGCGTACTAGACAATGAGTAATGCATGAGGAAAGTGTGAGAGATACATGTTTGCACAATTTCACTGTTATTGGTAAGGATGTTTTACAGAAAAACTCTTCAATGTTTGATTCCTTTATTTTATTTCATATTATGATAAATAGGTGAAGTAATATTATGGAACTAAGCACTGTAAACTCATCATTTATTTGTATAATTAAGGGTCATTGAGGTAAATTGTGTATTTTTTGATTGAGATGAATGAGGTCTGATGAATATTGTTTTTGGGTGACAGATTGCAAAGTCATGTTTAAGTTTGCAATGTGATGTTTAGGGATGTCAGTTTGGATAATGCCAACCCTTTACATATCTTCTTTCAAAAATTTTCTTATTGGGTTTTTCTAAGCTATGCCCCTGTGGTTGTTGAGATTCCAAGGTGTACCCATGCTTTTTCAAAATTATAAGATGTGCCCTTTGACGTTAACCCAACATTAATAATTCTCTAAATTGTTAATTACCCCACTTTGGATGGAAGTTTCACGCCTATATTGAGTTAGAATTATATTAGGGAGTTAACAAGAATTTTTTCCACATTTTCTCATCTACTTTTTATTCGTTTTTCTAAAAGCAACCATTGATATGTCAAACTCTTGGTGTACTTCATTTGTTTTCTCATCCGCTTCTTATTACTTCCTATTTTCTTACAATTATTAACGCCGAGTTAACGTCACAGGGTACTGTTGATTAAATAACTTAAGTTGGAGAGCACAACTTGTAATTTTAAACAGCATGGACACACCTTGGAAACTCAACATCCTCAAGAGCATAGCTTAGAAAAACCCTTTCTTATACTATTTTGTCAGTTTGTTGAGTGCTGCTTTCCTTTGAGTATAATTTGTGAATGTTAATGCTTTTTGAAATTAATTGTGGCATTGTGGGATTCAATATGTTGAGGTGTGTTCACTTCTTCCTTTTTGTTTATTTTATAATGCTCTTTGAAAATGAATGTTAACACTGTGAATTTTTTAAACTCATTCAAGATCACTAAGAATGCAAACAAGTGAAGATCAGCTCTATTTGGGTATGGTGGATCTTATGCTTGAATTATTGTTGGTTTGTGATATGTTTTGCGAAGTGTGATTGCTGTGTCTCACCCTACGTGATAGTCTCTATTTTGGTGGAGGAATGTTTTCTAAGATAGGTGTATTGTGTATACACTGAGATGACGCCAAAGGCCTATATCACCCAATTTTCCGTTGTAACTCCTCAATATCCCTTTTAAATTCAAGGGGAAGTGGACCAAATTTAGCTGCTTATGATGACAATAAATAATGGTCCCTTATTTAATTTCAAACTTCCAAATTGAAATGTTTCGATATTTTTTATTTCACATTCTATTTTGGGGAAAAGACGGTTGTAACAGTAGTTGTGGGTACAAACTACAAATCTTGCGCAATAACCCACCTATTGTTATTTTATGTGCTATTTTGCTTGTATTAGTTTCTTCAAATCCCTCATCCTTTAGAGATAATGTATATCTTGAAGTCATTTGCTCATTGTATATGTAATATACATGATGACAGCTTTCCAATTGGGTTTACGGTTGGTTACATAGTTCAGGTGAGTAATGAATTATTTAAAATAGCATGGCCTCGCAATTTGAATGCATAAACAATTTTCTCAGGTCAGTTAAGCTTTTGTCAGATTGTGATTAGATCAGATCAAATCTTGACAGCCCCAGCGCAATTTGCTTCTCATAAGTTGTTGGCATTCATTTTCTTAAGGCCTTTTTTGTTTAAGAATGGTTGTCCAAGATTCTCTAATTCAATTATTTATTTATTATGAGATTAGCAACTGTTTATGCAGTTGCTAATTTTCAGTTGGAACAATGTCTTGTTGTAAAATACTGCATATTCCTGAGCCCCTAGCCTAATTAGCTGATGGCGGAGGCCTTTAGTGGTATTTTGATTTGATTTTATATCGGCAATGTGGTTTACTCTCTGCATTTGGTGATGTACTGCAGGTCAAGCATTATTTTGAATACGAGGATCCGGATGGAACAGTAAATGAAATCTGGCGTCAAGTTAGTTTGAAAGTTTCCCTGGTTAAGCTGATGATCAACCGAGACAAACGGCTTGTAAGAACGGAGTTGTCTCAATCTGATTGCTCTTGCATTTGTTCAAATCAAACAGGCACCTTAACCACCTTATAGGGTCATTGTTTTGAACTACGTACATCAGCTGTCTGCTTCTTTGCTTCTAATTCAGGGTACTTCGCAGAAAACCTCAAAACTGAAATTGCAGTAGCTCTACGTTATCTGTAGAAGTAAAGATAGACATTCACTGTGCACCGCGGCTGCTTGTCAGACTGGCTATGATTCATGTTCATGTCGCGGATCTGACATTTTGTTAACTCAAATGGATGCTCTTGCGCTCTTGGTGAGTTGGTGATTCAATTAAACCAGAGAGAATGTAATGGCGAGAAAATAGGGGAGAATTTTAGTAATGTAACTATATATATGTTTTTTTCAAGTCTAGTAATGTAAACTATATTCTTTTTTCGAAAATATCAACAAGCATTGTTTTCCGTCTCTTACACAAGAAATCTCTTATCAAATTTACGTGATCCACTGCATATGCTAGCGGCATTTTTGTGATAAAACGGAAAACTGTAGGAAGATTTACAAGAATATAACTTTTAAAAAAACTTATTTACGGTTTTGCGTTGAAGTGAAACTTAATTACGAAAATATAGTCTATGTAGGCTCGGTATACATATGGGGTAATTTTTTCTTTAGAGAAAACCGGGTTATAGCCTAAAGTCGCTACCTTAAGTAGCGGTTTGTGCTTAGTAATCTAAATAAAGATATGGAGTAACAAGTAGCGGTATTAGGTACTTGAGGTAGCGGTTTTACTTTAAAAATAATAATAATAATAAAAAAAAAACTTATCCGAGCCTAAGTGGACAGTAGTTCTGTAAATAAGTTTCATTCCGACGCAAAAGTGTAAATAAGTTTTAAAGTAACCATATTTTTTAAAATCATTCAAAACTATATCCATTTGAAATGATTGAATGTATATAGAATATGTCTCCCCAAAATCAAACCCGATGATGAACAACCTTTCACCGCCATTATTGGTCGGGTTGAGTATTTAATCTTGGAGTGCTTAAATCCATATTTCCATTTCATAAACCAACCCAACCTCTAGCCCATTTCCCAAACCATAACTTATTTTCCTCTTTTTGTGTCTTTAAACCCGAAATAATTCATTTCGTGTCCTTTAAAATCATTCATTTCATGTCCTTTTTATAAAAAACATTTAATCCAGTTTATTTTAGTCCATAATCAGGGTCCAATGATTGAATAGTTGGATGGAGCTTTAAAAGAGCTTTCCAACGATATATTATAAGCCCAAATCCGAGTTATAACGAATAAGTTATGGCCAAAATATTAAACTAGCCCAAACTGAACCTAAGCCCACCTTACCTACGACCCAATGATCATGTGGAGGGTCCAAATTATTTAATCCCATTCCTAAATCAATTAGAATTAATTGGAAGCTTCTATAAGTTTCTAAAAGATCTTAATTATCATTTTTGAAAAGATAAGATTAAAAAGTTTGAAATTGAATAAAACTTTTCTTTTTCAAAATTCTATTTCTATCTGAATTGAAAGACGTTCAAAGATAGACAGATATTATTTTCGTGCCTCATAGTTTTTATCCAAATTTCATATGGTTAGATATCTCTTGAAATTATCTTTCCAATGATATATTATAATATCAATTTCGAGCTATAACGGAAAAGATATGAATAAAATGTCAAACTCTATCCAAAACAGACACCGTCTCACTATTTCGGTCATATCTTTTATTCTATAAAATATTTTAATCTGATTCTTGTTGTGTTAGAAATTAGACTTCAAGAGCTTTCCAACGATATCTTATTCATCTTATTTTGATTTCTGGATCAAAAGATATGATATAAACAAAAACCGCAAAAACTGCAGCCTATCGAGTTTTATTCCGATTTAATTCGGATCTTATCTTGTTTTTTCGACCCTTCTTTTTTCTATATAAATAGAGGTCATATGACCCTTTTCCAGTCATCAACAAGCTTGATGATCAAATCCTTCTCTCTTTCTCACTTTGACACCAAAAATCATTCATCTCTCTTTCTCTCTCATATTCTAAGCCTTAAACCTATATTCCTAATTACACCATTCTTCCCCTTAGTACTCGAAGGAGTCCATACAACACCCAAAGTTCTATACTTAAACCAAGGTGTGAAAGGTATAATTAACTGAGGGTTTAGACCAAATCAAATCTACATTTATTTAATTTAATTTTCATTTGCTTTATATTTTTTTTTATTGAAGTTACTAACAGATTATTCATGATGTAGCAATTCAAGGAAACGCGGAAAGTGAGTAATTAATCACTTAATTACTCTTATTTTTATTCTTGTTGCTAGTATCATGATTAGGTTATTTTATTATTTGATTTGACTAACACTATTATTGTTAAATTGCTTCCAATATTAATGTTTATTCTATTGTTATTATGATCACCATATTGCATGTTAAAGGAAATATGTAATTGAAAATCACGACTAATAAGATAATTTGGACAACCGGTTTAGGTTCCTTTTTAATCTTGTTATTTAATCAAGTGATCACAAATATTTTAGAATTATGTGTTGCATTAATATTCAACCATTTTAGCTTAATAATAGTTTGGAGCAAATTGAATATTTTGTTTGCATGCCTTTGAAATCGCAGGAATCACTTTTCACTATTAGAATCGAGTAGAGGCCAATACGGGCGAATGTGACTCCATGACTCACTTCGTACCATCATCCCCGATCCTCCTTTCGTGGTTCCGAACCATATGGAGTTAGTAATCTCATGGATTATGAATGGGGTGTAACCTTCACGGGTCAATCGTTGTCCCTTTAATCGTGGTTGCCTTTTATGATCCGTGAACGGTTTACAAGTTCTTAAAAAACTTGTTGGCGGCTCCCTACTTTATTTGTCCCTAATCGTATATGTCAATTCCCACTTCTTATGAGTGCCAAGCATATTCACACATGCTTTAACGTAGGCGCACTTTGAACGACGCCTACAATGTACGATGTACATAATTATAAGAGAAGGTATTGCGTGCGGACGGATGTACGAATTTTTGTTGCACGAGGCTTGGCTCGTATATTTTACTCGGTTGGCTGATATGGTTCATGTGTTGGCTGATGTGCTTCATTTGTTGGCTAATATGTTTTTGTCTTGGCTAATATATTCTTTTTTGTTAGCTGATATGTTTTTTCGTTTTGTTGGCTGATATCAGACATCATTTGGCTTTGGCTTATATGTTTCTTTAGGTTGCTGATAATATTTATTTTGTTGGCTTATATGTATATTTTAATTGTTGGGTTATATGTTTCATTTTGTTAGCTGATATATTTATGTTGTTAGCTTACATGTAGCTTTTGTTGGCTGATACGCTTTATTGTTAGCCGATATATTTCTTTTGTAAGCTAATACGCTTCATTTTGTTGGCTAATGTGTTCCTTCTAGTTGACTTTTTTGGTTGATATACGACTCTTGTTGGGTTATATGTATCTTTTGTTGGCTAATGTACTCCTCTTGTTGGTTTATATGTATTTTTTGTTGGCTTATATACTCCTCTTTTAGTTGATATACTCCTAATGTTAATTGATATTAGATATTAGTTGGCTACTTGGCTAATATGTTGCTTTTATTGGCTTATACTCCCTCCATTTCTTATTTCTTGCAACAAAAAGGGGTTGAACGATTCCCAAGTCAAAAGTTTTTAAGCATAATTATTAAAAAGTAAGGGCAAGTAAATAATGTAATTAAGGAGGGAGGGTGAATAATTAATTAAACAACTAAAAGTTTAGCACTACCACCGATGAACAGGTACGCCACCCAAAACCACCAGCAACAAAAATCTACCACCTAGAACCACCTAGAAACCACCCAAAACTAACCTGAACCACCCGAAATCACCCAGCAAAACCACTTCTTCCCGAAACCACCCAGATCTAGAACCCACGCCACCCACAACCACCACCCAGGCCCACCACACCAAACCCACAAACCCACCAAAACCCCTCCTCCACCCCCGTGAAACCACCAACACTACCATATCTAGACCCACCAACACCACCGAAAACGACCAGTTCAAGACCCACGAAACCACCAGACCCACGCCACCAACCTTATGAATTTCCTCCACTCCTGCGAAGCCACAATCCACAAAACCTACCTTTACCACCGAAACCACAAAAACCTATCGACGACCCACTAGAACCACCCATGACACCACCAAAATCACTAACGAACCACCAAACTCACCAACAACCAGATCTGAAACCCACTAAAAGGGTGGTTTGGAATTTGATTCTAAGAGATGAAGATGATGAAATGATAGATGGAGGAGAGATAGAGATAATGGGTTTGATTATTTGGGTATGATTTCATAGATAATTAAGATTAAGTTTATAATGGGTTGTAATTATGTGTAGCATTTTGTGTTCAAAAATTTTAAGTAAGGATATATTTTGTCATTTAGTCAGGAAAAAAGTTTCCAAATAAGGAAAAAAATAAGTTTGTTGCAAGAAATGTGAACCGCCCCAGAATGGCAAATGTTGCAAGAAATAAGAAACGGATGGAGTATACAAAGTAATACGGCAAAAATTACAAAGTATTTTTTCTCTCTCCTCTTTTCCCTTCTTCCTCTTCCTTTCTCTCTCTTATTAGCTCCTCACGCCACGCACCATCACCGAACTCCAACATCAGCAACACCCACGCCACCCCTCACACACCTCCTGCTCCTCACGCCACCCATGGCACCGATCCCCACCGCATCACCAGCCACAGAACCCACCCACCACCGAACCCACTAACCCACCATTAAACTTACCCACCATCGAACCACTCACCCTTTCAACCAATCTTGCACCACCTCCAAACAAAATCATACCACCTCCAACTAAAACTGCATCCCAAACACCACCTCCAGTCGCCCTACTTGAAAATCGAACCATCTCAAATCGCAGCCGAAGTGAACTGAAATCGCAAATCATACATCATTATCCTCGTCCTCTGTCCGTCGCAAATCACACTTCATCATCTTTGTTTTGAGGGGCTTTCGATTTAATCAGAAAATGCTATTCGATTTGGTTGTCTGATTCAAGCATGATGATCTTTGTTATGTAAATTGTGAGCCCTAAAATCCCAATTTCCTTTGAGAATTGAAATGAATGGGTAATGTGTTTGAAGGGAAAAAGTTTCGCGCACGAACTGTTGGATGTGGGTGGACGCACCCAATAGTTTATGTAATTATAATTATATTTCTCTTTTCTTGTCCCATAATAATTTGCTAAAATATGTATACTCTTAAACAATACTAGGAGCTAAATATGCATTCGCATATCTTAATCTATTTTGTAGTTTCTTATCTATCAATTACATTATGCTAAAGGCGAAACTTAGAGAGACACTTGGTGATATATGTGTTTTATATGCTATTTTATCTGCCGTGCCACGGTCATTTAAAGTCATATTTGAGC